TATCAAACATGACCACACTAGGAGATGAAAGAAAAGATTTACCATTAAAAAAAAATTCATAACTATGACTCATAAACATAAGAAGGTAAAACAGGAGAGGAGCTTCTGAACAGTTGTGCACTACCTGGAAGGCATTTTTCAGTGGCAACTGTAACTTGTGAAAAACAGCAAGCATAGAAGCTCTTCTGTAACTTTTCACTCACAGGATAAACACATTAACTGTAAATTAACATCAGCTGCACACAATGCACAGCTAAGGGAGATCATACACTAAAATTAACTGACTGTTCAAAAGCCATCACTGAGGCCCTGATGCCAACAGAATTTGGGGGTCAAGCTGTAAGCAGTAACTAGATTTTAGATGCACTGTATTGCAACTGTTTAATGAAATACTCGATTTTGTAACAATCAAAGGAGACAGAAAATACATTTCATAATTAAAAAAAATTAAAATAACTTACTGGTGTTTTCAGGTTGCCATTACTCACACAGCTGCCATTCTGCACAGACGACTCAGGCACAGTCTCATCATGGACAGCATTCTCTCTGAAGTGTAAAAAACATTTTAGGTCTTAGCCACAAGGAGACATAGCTCCACTTCAATACAAACAACAGAATGAAAGAAAAACCTATATATGCATTTAAATATTTTTAATTTTTAAATATTTTTAATTATTCATTTGGAAGTTAGGTCATTTTGTTACTAAACAGCAAACAGCTAACTTTAAGGGCACAACAGATATTTCTGGCCTTTTCCAAACTATTTCTTTTTCTGTAAGATAGTCAGATACTTAGAAACTAGCAAAACTATGTAAGATATCAAGAAAGTAGAAAGTAAGTAAATAAAGTAGAAAGCTGATGTTGACTTAAGGCAGCCTCTGACTTAAGACCTTTGCACCTTGTAACACAAGTATGAATTCACCTTATGGGTACTCTAAACAAAACATGGTATTAACATTCAATGGGTCTAAAAGTTAAAATGAGAGGAAGGAGCTGTTTTGTCTATAAAACATGTTAAAAAAAAAAAAAAAGGCACATAAGAAATTCATTTGCAGGTCATTGCTACTATGATGGAAGAACAATTTTATAAATAGAGATGCACCTTCTGGGAAATCTGAAGCCATACATTTATCTGCAATGAAATGATGCCACTTCTCATCATTCCCAATGCTAACAATATGCTTTGCCAAAGATCATGTTTGAGCAGATGAGCTGGATCCCACTTGTGCAGCAGGTCCAGTGCTGGCAGCTGGCTGCTATGGCCTCCTCTTAAACTATGGTGGCCAGGACATGAAGCCAGTTGACTTGTACTATAAGAAGGCACAAAAAAAAAAAAAAAAAGTAAACATGAGACTGTACAGTTACTTTTATTTTCACACTACTGTTACAACAAGAGAGTGTTCCAACACAAGTGACCACTTTACAAAGAAAAAAAACAGTATATTACACTGTCACATACAGCGAACTCTCCAATATCCAGTGTTGGCTAACCCAGATAGGGAATTAATTGTGCTATGGTTGCAGAGCCAGCTTGACTCCAGCCAGGTTTACCAAAGCCAAATAAGCACTGTTGTTGCTCTTCTTCCAGCAACTGTCTGCCTGAAACAGTCTGCTGAATAAATCCTAAGGATGAACAGACTCAACTGCAGGACCAAGGTCCTAATGTCATTTCATTAGTGAAAGGAGGCACAATTTTTTTTAATCACATCTCTGTTTACTTTTTCAAACTATTGCAACGCTTCACCGTAACTGATTTAGAATTAGGCTTACCAAGACTGATAAAAATTCTACATAAATACAAAATTCAACAAAAATACATCAACTTTCCAAATATAATTCTGCAAAAGCTTAACTTATCTACAGAGAAGAGTCCCATAAAAGTTAAATTCAATGAATGTCTTGTCATGAGAAAAAGTTCAAAATGTGCCGCAGTTTTGGACAAATGGGAGACAAGAAAATAATTCAGGATGCAGCAATCCCTGTGTCAGCTCTCTGGACTTCTGCAAGTTATAGAGAAGAGAGGGATGAACTATAGCTCACAACTGAGTTGCACACTAGAAGCAACAGTTTGCAAAAGTTTTCAAATGTTTTCTTTGATTTGTAATTGCGAGCTACGCAAATTGAGTATCTTCAACACCACTAGTAACTTCCTAGTAGAAAAGAACAAGCAGCAAGAGATAACACCACATATTGCTTTTCTGAGGCCAGTCAGCTCTTCCCAGATTCTTCTACAGACCACAAATAGATAACCGTGTTTGTCAAGAAGCTGTTTCTACTATGTGATTAAATCCTTTCACTCTTGTTTTCAAAGCTGACTGAAATATCACAGGGCTGGACTAACATTCTTACTTGCACTGTTTCACTCGAAACACAACTTAGATGCCACCCAAGACCCGTGAGAAGGTGTGTTACCTGTTTCTGCATTGTACCTCAATGTAACACTCAGCACACTCTCAAATGATTTTGCTGAATTGTTTGCATATACTATTTAGCAACTTACTCCATCCCATAATGAAAATAAATGCATTGCATTCAATTACAACTTAATTCAACTTCAACTCAGTTTTAAACACTTAAATAACAAAAAAAACAAGAACTGCTGCATGACAGTTCTGTCAAAGACTTGTCTGATCACGTACTACTTTTAATCTCTCTGTCTAGAATTGAGTTTATTGAAGCTTTAACTCTTCACCAAGAATATCCTGAAGGATGACGCTACACATAGTAACTACTGGCCCTGTGCTACTTACTTTCCCAGCCTATGCCACGCAAAATGTACTTGTAGCAAAAGGGGCTCAAAAAAGCAAAGGAATGCCTGGTATAAGGAACACCACACTTTTCAAAGCTCAGCAAAACCTCCAAGAATGAAGAGACCACTGATCTACAGCTTCCTCATGTTGAGCTAACAACACACCATCTCTGTAATCAAACCAGCTACAATAACTTTCACACACTCTAAACGTCTGTCTTGAACGCTGAACAAATGTAACTAAGCACTAAATACTATTACCAAAAAGCCATTTAGTTTCGGAATTGTTTTGGTTATCAGTGCAGGACAGCACACAGCAATGCCACAGGAAGCACCATGCTCCAACAGACAACTTGCACAAATGCAGAGATTTTCTAACTCCAGATACTACCAACACTCATGCAAGAACCAGACCACAGCCTAGAAACTGAACCCCACAAAACTACTTAGAAATTGCATGAGATATTTCAATGGAGTTTTTATTTGCACAACTAAGCTTCTGTGGAAGAAACTGTTAAGATAACCAGGACATCCTTCTTATCTTCTGGAGCAAAACAGAAACCACTGTACCTAGCTGAGGATGTTGTGATCACTTCTGCAGTGATCCTTATGAATATGTCCACTTAACATCTTTTCAACATCTTTTCAGCAGTAGGATTTGACAAATTTGGAACTAGTCCTTCATTTTTTTTTGCTCCCCTCTGTTAACCTACACACAGAGTATTTTTGCATCTTTAAATTAACTGCTCCCCTCTGTTAACCTACACCACACAGAGTATTTTTGCATCTTTAAATTAACTGCCTCATGCACTGGTAGGAGACAGTTCTCAGCCCTCTCCTTTGTTTCCATTAGCAATCAGTAAGAAAGCACAGGCAGAATTCCATTCCTATCTCATCCATATTTTCACCTCTATACCCTCTTACAGATGGCTCACAGGCTCATTTTTACCTCACACTCCTGCCACACTACTGTTCTTCCACTAGAACTTGAAGTCTTATTGAAGAGATACAAACACTTGAAGCAGGAAGGAGGCAAAGTCTTTCATTGAATCCTCACACACAATACTGTTGTAAGAATTTCTGAATTCATTTTTCTCATCTTGACAAACATTTGGAGATTTAGTGACTCATGTTTAGAAAGAAAGCAGTCTCTTTAAAAAAAAAGATAAACCATATTCCTTTAGCTGTGTGAAAGGACCAATTAATCTACGTGACTGGAAGAATCCTTACCTTAGGTTTTTAAAATTATAAATTTCAGTATGATTGTTTCATCTTTTAGAAGCAAAATAAGAATCTCAGCTAAACAATTGTCAGGTACCTTCCTGACACTTCTGAAATTAAGAGGCTGGCTTCAGATAAAACATCCTGGAAAGGTCATTTGGGAATCAATATCAATTGTCATAACAGACAGTGAGGAATACACCTCTCAGGTTTTGCTAGAGCTTAATGAAGCAAAAGACCTGGACTTGACTTGTTCAGGAGGTGACAGGATCAGCAAAGATTGATTGGGCTGCAATAGGTTAAAAACATTAAACACCAGACATCTGAGAAGATGCACTCTTTGAAACTACACAGGATATACCCAAATGTTTTAATTTACCTTTTATTTTTCTGTACCTGCTCTAACAGAAGTCTTCTAAAAACCGTTCTGTAAATAATTACACGAACACATCTGGCTTACAGACCATCTCAACCCATGATCGAAAAAATACATTAGGAAAGGGTAAAGACTTGACATACCCCTGATAAAAACAGCCACAGAGAAGCAAGGCCCCCTTAATGCCAGCAGGGAGACTACAAAACCCCTCACCATCCCCAAATGCACCGCTGAAGAGAACCACGTGTTGACTACGAACTTGCCCATTATGTTTATTTCAAACGAGGTTCCTCTGCACCCCAGTGAATCAGGCACAGCACAGCTCGCCAGGCCCAGCTCCCCGCCGACCAGCACAAAACGCGACGTCCAGATACAATACACGCAAGGGAACAAAGCAGAGATGCGAGTAACAAGACACGGAGCCCAGCAAACCCCTTCCTCCTCCCTCCCTCCTGCCCAAGAACCAGACACACCGCAGGCCGCCCCACAAACTTCAGGCACCGATTCCACGCGGCAACCCGGGGCCGGGCCTTACTTCTGGCAGGAGCCGGCTGCGCTGGGCTCAGCTATCATTGCCTCCACATTCTCCCAGCGCCGCAGCCGCCCGAGCTACCGAGGGGAAGACCCTCAGGGCCGAGATCCGGGGATGCAGGGATGGAGTGGGGGGGGCGGGAGGGGACGGTTAAATCCCTCATCGAGCTGCGCCAGCAGCACCCGCGGCCTGTGGCGGCT